GTGGAATATTTTTTTTCTAGGTGAAGAACGTTCGTGAGCGCTTTACGGCTGATGAAGTCCTGAAACACCCGTGGGTGCGCGACGGAGCCCCGAACACGAAGCTCCAGACTCCAGGAAACTTGTTTAGGTCGGTTGAAATAGTTTTTTTTTCGCTGGTCGAAGAGTGCTTTTCATTTGGTCTGGATATTCTGTATTTTTTTTTTCAGAAACGATAGCGCTCGCGACGTTCATCAGATTCAGGAACATTTCAATGTCATGAATCGTATTGAGGCAGCTCGGCGCAGTGCGAGAATGGAGAATTTTGAACTCAACATTTCGAAATCAAATGGTTTGTTCATAAACGCTTTGTGGGGGCTTATTGTCCCTTTGGTAATTATTTCCCTTTCAGATGATCTTTTAATTCGTCTGAAGAAAAGTGAAAATGATGATACTGAAAAAGAGAAAGAAAATATAGACCTTGGTGAAGAAGTCGTACGAGCTACAGAAAAAAATAATAATTCGGAAGATACTATACCAACCGTTCTCAAAGCGGCACCGGTACTCACGCCGACTAATTTTGCTGGCAATGCTTGCAACAAGCAAGCCCAATTACCTGATATTTTAACTTCTGATACTACTGTTAAACAAGGAAGGAATCAGGTTCCATTGGTTTCACCTGCACTGACAATGTCACAAATCACCGTACCTCAAGGAATGGCTGTTCCTGTGCCTCAGGTTAGTGATAGAGTTTTTTCTTCTTTCAAAAGGAGAACTGGTTTTTTATGTGGCATTTTAGAATTGTACTTCTCTTTTTTCGGTTACAGATGACAGTGGCAAACCAAATAACATTTTGTCCAAATGGTTATCCACAACCGCAACCTGGAATCCCTACAACTGTGGCTTTCACTCAGAATCCTCTCGTTAATCTGAATGGATATTACATGTATAACCACTTCGTCCCTCAGCAAGTCTATCTTCCTCAGCAGATGGTATTTAAATCTTATGACAGTTTACCAAATAAATTTAAGTGAAATAATATCAGAGTTCTGGAACAGCTTGGCATAAGGAGGTCCGTAACGCTTCTCAACCGTTTTCTCTTTCAGTATAAATTTGGGATAATGCCAGCGCAGTTTATGGCTCCACCACCGCCTAACTCTTTTGGATTGGTCTCGCCTTTGGGGCTTCGTGGAAGTAACGGGTATCAGCGTTCCCGCAGAGGCGGTCAGAATGCAAATTCGAAATATGGTGGTAACCAGACGGGTCTGCACAAAGGCATTGGGTTGGTTTCTGTACAGTCTGCGACTGCTCTCGTTGCAAACTCGCAGCCAGCGGAAACTTGCCAGACAGCTATGGCAAGACAAGTAAGCCTTTCTTTCTTGTGGAAAGTGCTGTTGGAGTTGTTTGAGACCGCGTAGATTGTGCTGGCTTATATATGGCTTTATTATTAAATCAAAATATCACAGTTTTGGAAGGTTATCAAATTTATTTTAGGATTCAAAGAGCGAACTGCCTCCGCAGGCACGTGAAACTCGGGTGAACGTATAAACGGGCTTTTCTTTAAAATTCCTTGTCTGCATTCGTATAATTCCGAACCTCTTCATCCAAGTTTCTGCTGCATTTCTATATAGGTTTTGACGACGGGGAGCATTTCAAAGATTGTTTCCCAATGTTTAAGCAACGGCAAACTCTGCTTCTTTCTTCTTGCTCTGTAAATATTTGATAATGTCGTATAGCCTTGATTTGTATCATTTCCAGTTTTCTTCGGTCAAGTTTACTAAATGTTTGTATAATTCTGTCGAGAATTTTGGCAGAATTATTCATATTCATTTCGGTTGAGAGAAAAAGCATGGAATGTAACAGCGGTCCCCAGAAGAAAGAACTCAACATGGAAATTTTAATTTCAAAAAATTAGAAGTAGTTATGTATTGGAGATGATGGTATTTTTTGATGTGTTGTTAAATCAATTTTTGGTCGGGGGTAGCTTATTCTAGCTGTACGTCGATTTTGCATATCGAGCGGTTGTGTTTGCGAAACTTTGTTTACATCTTTAGAACCAAGGTTTCGTTTTTTTGTTCTGTTAGGTTTTAGGTGTTAAATAGTGCCGAAAGGTTGTGATTTCAGCGCACAGTCTGGTGTTCGTGCCGTTTAAAATTGCAACTTTTATGGGTTCTTCATTGTTGTATATATTATGTGAGTCTGCTCTTCTATAATACCAGGCGTTATTGTATTTTGGGTTAGTTTTTGATTGAACTGGTCAAATTCTTAAAATTCGTCTTCGTAGTCAAACGTTTCTTTGATGAAAACTTCGATGTGTTTATCCGTAGGTTTTGTTGCAAGATTTTTTTTTTCGTTACGGAGTGAAAAAATTCAGAATTTTTCAGTCACTGTAGATTTTGAAGGTGAGGATGGTCAACTCGAGTTTTCGGGTTTCAATTTTAGTTACGGTTTCTAGATTCCTAGCGTCGGTTGTATCTTTGTGTCTTTTAGATGTTGAATTAGGTTTTTCAAGGCCTGGATTATTAATTTTTCTTCTTTTGTAGTATTTGTAAAAGGTCCTTCTCACCGAAATCTGTCAGCAAAAAGCAAACAAACACTTAGTGTTTAGATGTAAATAAGATTGTATATAGTTTTGTCTTTTTTCA